ATATTGTGTATCTTATATCAAAAATGTTTGAGCTACTTCAATATTTATTACTAGGGTTCAAACACCGTTCTAAGGAACGCTGGTGACTAAGGGTGGCAGATCCGGATACGAAAAAAGGCCGGATATCCGGAACGGTTCGGATATAGAATCCGGATCCGGATATCCGAAAATTTCTGTTCGGAACTGATTCGGATATCCGAAGATCCCAACTATCCGTCAACCTTACTGATGACCTAAAAGGTGGGAGGCTCTCCCTCAGAACCACGAGAACCCGAGGCTAAAATTACGAATGGGTGTTTATTAAGTTTACTTGAAAATTTAAATAAAATTTTATTTTTCCATGATGAGTGCAGGTTATACATATATACATATTTCGTGTTCGATACCTTTTTCAATTAAAACTAAGAGATCTTCAGAAAGCAGATTTTGTGCTTGCCTATAAGGCTCTGTATTGTTTAAACATTTAAATATATTTTTCAAATTTGTATGATTTAATAAATCGTGTTCAAATACAGCAATTTCAGTCTTATTGAGCATCACGTCCTTTACAATGCTTGGAACTTAAAATCCTTTATTTTTATGAAAAAAAATTAATTTTTTACCAAAATCCCAAATTAAATTCCAAGAGACAGGTATTGAACCAAAAAGATAATTTTCGCCGTGATTTGATTCATTACCACTATTTCTAGTTTCATTAGGTGCGCGTAAACTCCAAAAATATGCTTCACGCTAAACAAATTTTTAATAATTTTTTTGAAATTTTTTAATAATTAATTGAAGACAATGAATATACTCTAAGTTTATCTCAGAGGTAAGTCGGAATTCCGATTTCCTATTTCCGAAAAAAATTTTGATTTTTGACTTCCGAGTTCCGACATTTGAGTCAGTTCCGATTTCCGGCTCTTTCGATTTCCGACACCCCCTGACTGTTACGACTCACCTCTGGTTTTTAGGAATCTTAAGTTTTCTGGAAGGTGTTGATATTTATTTTTCGAGAAAAGAATATGTTCCGGAATCTTAAGTTTTCCGTAAAACTCGCTAAAATAACTTGCCGTTGTATTCGTCGAATCTTTACATTTTTTTAATGAAGAGGTATTTTGAAAGGAAAAAGTTATTAGATTAATAAACAAAAATATTTTTAATAGCATTTAAAAATATTACAGATTAAAGGGAAAATTATTTAAATTTTAATTACAAAATTTGGAAATTATGGACATAATTAATAAGCCGAAAATATTTTTGGGAACCGTTAAATTATTTAAATTAGTTAATGTATGTACATCAATTTACAAAAATTTTTAAATTAAATAAATTTAGAATTAATGATTCACCCTCTGCTATAAAATTTGTGGATTATTTAATTTATTTAAAATATTTTTATTAGTAAAAATGTACTGGGAAAGAATTTTACTAAATCTAATTAAATATTATTATGTACTATGTCCCATTATTTCTAAAATTGAATAAAATTTTAAAATAAAAAATTTAAAAAAAAATATATTAAAAAATTGATTGGCTCTAGATTATTCTAGTAGTCCAAAGAAATTTATTAGTCCATTCAAAGTAGATGAGTCAATGAGGTTTATGAGAACAATGAAATTTAGCATTCTTTATTGGCACATGAAACTGCTGTATGCCACCTACGGGATAGCAGGATCTCAAAGTTTATTGGTTGATTAACTAATTGATGATTAGTTATATTGTTGTCTTTATTTGTCCTCCGTTCTAACATGCCAAAAACACAACCCCCTTCATATTATGTATATTTGGAATGAAGCACACTCAGCATTAGAAGTATAAAAAAATTTTATTGCCTACTAAACTGTACCAGACTCACTTTATTTACAAAAGAATAGCCAAATCTCATAGCTAGAGCGTGTTTTTTTAGGTTTTTACCTATTTTTTTTTGCGAACGGCCTTTGATGAGATAAGTCGAAAAAACACTGTTTTACCGCATAGTGTAACGTACTTTTCGAGTTATTAAAACCTAAAAAACCTATTTCGACCTTTTCGGACCTAAAACCTATTTTGAGCCTATTTCTACCTTTTTTGGACCTATTCTAGGTTTTTTGAAAATTTTTCTTAAATTTTCTTATTTTTAGTCAATTTCCGCCAAATCTAGCATCTCAAACACCCAAAAACCCGAAAAATTTTGCCTGCGGCGCTAGTATTCTGGTATATCTTCATTTAGTTAGAGTTGGCCGGTATCGGGATTTAGAGAAAAACCCGGGATCGGGATTTCGGAATGGTGATCCCGATCCCGGATCCCGACACGGGATCGGGATTGGCCGAAATCGGGATCGGGATTTGGACTGGAGATCCCGATCCCGATCCCGAATCGGGACCGGGATTGAAAACTCGGGATCGGGATTTACTAAAAAAAATTTTCTAAACGTTCAAGTCTATACGATTAAGTGCGTTACGTTCAAATGTGGACGATTAGAACTGAGAATGATATATATTTTCGGCCTAGTACTGAAACTCGGTTGTGGTATATACAATGGGGACTCAGTCGTGCCTTCCGTCTCCAATTTTGTAAGCCAACAAAGAAGAATTATCCTTTTTCAACGCCGCTGGCAAAAATTTTTTGAATTTCATATAGACAAGGGTCAAAAATCCTCATTTTTTATAAAAAAATACAAGAAAAAATGGGAAAATTCCAGAACCGAATAAAATCCCAAATCCGGTGCTCAAAATTTGCCGGACCCGGACCCGGATTCCGGATTTGCAACTTGAGCCGGACCGGATCCGGCCGGATTTTTCCGGATAAATCCGGTCCGGTTTTAATCCGGAAATTTCAAAAAAACCCGGATTTGGGACCCGGACTCCGGAAAAATCCGGCCGGATCCGGTCCGGCGCCGGGCACTAATAAAAAAGTTCAAATTTAGTAAAAGTGATATCATAAATGTTTTAATTTCAACCAAAATTAGAACCTATTTTGTCAAAATTTGGACCTATTTTGGCCTTTTTCGACCTATTTCGGACCTATTTTTAAGTTTTTTTGGACCTAAATAGGATCCTATTTAGCAATTTTTTGGACCTAAAAAAACACGCTCTACTCATAGCTAATAAAATCAGAATAAATTTCAGTATACACTAACTCCTTTTTCCTTATCAAAATTTAATTTTAAAAAAAATTTAAAAAATTTTTAATTTATTTATTATGACTAGTACAATATTGTTTTTAAAGTTACCGTATATACTCTATTAATTACCCTGGGTAATTATTGTTTCGACCTTACTCTAGAGAGGGTAATTAATAGAGGCGGGGTAATTAATAGAGGTTATTTTAGGGAGGCTAATTATAACTATTTTTAAGGGAGTAATTATTGTTTCAACCTTTCGCTGGAGGAGGTAACTAATAGAGGTGGGGTAATTATCTGAGGGAGGGTAATTAATAGAGTATATACGGTATACATAATATCATAAAAAATCAAAAAAAAATGTTGGAAAAATAAAAATAAACAAAAAGTTAATTTTTAGATTAAAAAATAATTTTTTGGACAAAAAAAATTTAAAAAAAAAGAGAGTGCACAAAACAAAAAAAAAATTAACAAAAATAATTTTAAAGAATGAGATTTAATTGAAAGTTATTTAAATTTAGTTTAATTAGGAAAAATAATAAAAATAAAATTATTTTTATTATTTTTTAGTTCTGTATTTTTTAACAAACTTTTCGGATACTTTAATATTTTACTTAACTTTTAAATTCCAAGTATTTTATTTTTCATGATTATTTTTTTAATTTCATGTTTATTTCTATCCTACTTTTTAATTAAGATTCAATTAGGTTAGGACACGCCAAGTTATTAACCGGTACCCCCACAGTTTTCGGTTAATTAGAATTTAAAAACCCCGGTTTTCGGTTTTGAGTTTTGGCCAAGTACCGATTCTATTTAGGGGGAATTTTTGAAAAAACCCCCACTCGTTTTCATAGATCGCCGGTTTTCGGTTTTTGAAATTTTATAAAAAAGGTTAATTTTTGGCAAAAAAATTTCAAAATTTTCGGTTTTAAAACCGGTCGTGTCCTACCCTCATTTTAATGTTTCACCATTAATTCTTGCTTATTCAAACCCATACTGCTTGTTCAAATCCATATACTTTTTAATGCACATTTTTTACTTTAAAATCCATCAGCCTTATTTTCCATTTTAAACACCAAACTTAATTTTTCTAAATATTAAATAGACTGATAGATTTTTTCTCAAAATTAATTTCTCAAAAATAAAAAGAAAATGAAAGATAGGCAAAAATTATAATACTTTAAAATATGAGCAAAAATTCAACAAAAAAATTTTTTCTAAAATTTATTCAAACTCTAGCACCGTGTCTTTCTGAAGAATACCTTTAAAATTTAGAAAAAAAATATTTTCAGAAAATCAAAATTTATTTTATTTACATTTGTGGAGGAGCATATCTAGCCCCATTATCTGCATAATGTCCATTTGTGTGACCTCCATCAACGGTGTCACTTTCATACCCTGAAGCAGGCCTTTCTGCTGGTCGTAAGCGAGCCTTTTCTTGCGGGGGTGGACGAGTACGTTTAAAGAAACCGCACTTAAAAAATAATTTTATATTGCATAAATGAAAAGGAAAGGACCTGATAACAACAAAAAATAATTAAAGCAAGTAATAATAATGCTATTAATATTGCCAAAAGCCAAAGCCACCACTAAAAAGTAATTAAATTAATTTAGGCATGTAGAGATTATTATTTGATTTTTATGTTTCAAGTTTGTATTCTTTACAAGTTTGCACTTGTATTCTTAAGTTTTCAAGTTTAATTTTATGCTACAAGTTTATTTTCATTAACAAAAACTTATATTCAAGTTTGCAGTTATTTTCCCAAGTTTATTTTATTATTCAAGTTTGTGTTTATGTATTTTCAAGTTTGCGATTGACATATAGTATTCCTTCATTAAAATATTCTCTTAACAGACTTTGAAGCATCTCATAATTTTTTATGCTTCAAGTTTATTTTTATGCTTCAAGTTTTACATTTATTTAACTTTCGAATGTTTAACGTTTTCTCTTTTACAAACCGGTAGTTCCCAAATGCCTGCTTCTGGATCTGTCGGATTCACTTCTGTATTAACAGCAATTAACAAAGCAGGTGGTGAATATTTGGGGGCAAATGGCAATGCGGAGATTCTAGCTAAGGCTATTGAAGAAATTTCCCCATCAAGGTGATTCTCGTCAATTAAAGTATTCAGCCATAATCGAGAAAATACTTCAACTAAAACAAATTCGTTTTCTTCCAAACGGCCAATGTCACATTCAATGTGTGTACAATTTAGTGCGGCACAGTTCTAAATTTTTAATTATGTATCTATAACATATTTCTCAAATTCATTAGCATTCTTGATTCACGTTTATTTCAGGAAATGTTAAATTTCTTTGGTTTCAAGTCTAATTTTATTTGTTTCAAAAATGTTTCAAGATTATTTTTAAATTGTTTCAAGTTAACTTTTAATCACGGTTGGGGTTTTCGAGTCGGGCCGACGTTCGAGTCATCGTTTTTGGGCCTGATTTTTTCGGGCCGGCTCGACCGAGTCTTTTTCGGGCAAAATTTTAATGCCCGACTCTATCTTTCGGAGCGGGCCGGGCCCCCAATCCTAATTTTAATAGATTGTCTTTCATATTTTATTTCAATTTTTGCTTCAAAAAATAATTCGTAAAATACTTGTCTAATATCGAAAATTTAGATTTTTTCTTATAGTAACCCCGTGCTTTTCACTCTAAATTCCTTCCCCCAACCTACAATTGTATTCCTTCCCAACAATCCATGATATTCTGTAGCACCCCCAGATTGTTTTGCATGTTGGACAGCATCACGTAACATGTGTTTCTGAGCTCTAAGATTTCTTTGAACAGCGGTTTGTCGACGCTTTCTTGGATTATTTGGATTATAATCCTGATATTCCAGATTATTTTCATCCTCATTTTCTCCATCTTCTACAGCCCATCCCTTATGTTTATTACTTTGCCTTTGAGGTGTTTCAAATTCTTCTTCCTCCTCCTCTTCAGGTTCAACATTTACTTCTCCTTCTTCTTCAATACCATGAGCCCCAATTGGGCTAGCTGTAGCCATATGAACGTTAGAAATCTGTTTAGAAATATTTATTTGAAGCAAAAATGCTTCAAACCGCTAAATTTGCCGGGTTAATATGTTGAGGTTGATTTAATCGACATTTTGCTTTTGTTGTGTCGCTAACAAAAGGTTGATCAATCAAATATAGAAGATAACGGTCTCCTTCGGAGAATGAAGGCCAAAAGATATCGAGAGTGGCACCGCTAATGGCACTGGGGCCTCTGTTTGTAACCTATAAATTTGCTCCAGTTTTTATGTTTTTTGCTTCAGTTTTGTTTAATCTATTCATTTTTTAAAGAAGCTTGCTTCAACTCGAATTTATTTTCATAAAATATTTCATCAGAACCTGGAAAAGGTGGCTAACTGTAGGTCCAATATCAAAGTCAAACGTGGCCGCCACTCCAGGCGTTCGATTACGCACAGAATAATCCACTTGTGGGGGAGTACTCCTTCCAATCAAACCAAGTTGGGCATTAACCTCTATCGGAATACGCAAAACCATTTGATTATCGCCATCAGCACCTGCTGCTTCTTCATTTGTACTTGAATGAATAATTCAAGATTAATTAGTAATAATGCTTCAAGTTTACCTAAAGTTTATTTGAAGAGTGTTTCAAGTTTGTTCATAAAACGTCAATTCACTCTTCAAACTTGGTTATTTTAAGACTCAAGTTAGACTTGTCTAATTCCCCTATCTGATCTGTGGGAGAGGAATTACTCCCCTATTCAAGGTTTAATTTTTATGCTTCATATTTATTTGAGATCTACCTGTTTACACCCATCCTTAACTCTACAAACTCTTTAGACATATCCACATCATGTCCTCTTAGTTTAAATCCAAAATTAGCTGTAGCCCCCGCTGGGAGAGGATTGCCAATATCACAAATAAACTCATAAGGTTGTTGACTATTTTTTTGAATTATTTGTTGGTGTTCTGCTGGGGAACAACTGACAGAATACTAAAAAATAAATTCAAAATTTATTCCAACATCAATCTAACTTTTGTTTCATAATTTTCAATCCCTCCATATTCAAAGCCTGGAGGGATAGACACCGTGTATTGTGTTAAATACGAATCCTCTCCTTTATTCTCCACACTCACATTGAGAATTAATGTTTGGTCTATAGCTCCAATTGTAAATTTATCTTTTGCTCTATTTAAAATTTTTTAAAAATTCCAAAAAAAAATTTATTTACGGTCTAGCAGTAATGTGTAAATCAGGAACACAGATATTATCCTCCCCACAGTCCTTTTCTATAATTAATTCTGTATCTAACCCCTCCACAAGTGTTGTATCTACAGCAGGTTCTAAACGCCCAGGAATGCCACTTTCCACGTAGCTGTAGTTAACAGAAATGAGAATTGGTGAAATTTTATCCCGAATTGTGTCCTATAAATAGTTTGTAAATGTTTCAAGTTTGTGAAGTGAAATTCAAGTTTATTTATTTGCTTCATGTTTATTTTATTTCACCAGGTTTATTAATAAAGGTTTCAAGTTTATTATTTCAATGCTTCAAGTTTTAATATTATTTCAAGTTTAATTAAAACAATTATTCTTAAGTTTGTAAACTTGAAAGTTTTTTATAGAACTTTCTAGTTTATTAAATTAAAAATGCTTCAAGTTTGTAAATTTGAAAATAATTCAAGTTTTAATATTAAATATATAAAGTGTGCAAAATTGTTTTTAAATCTATTAACGAATATGCTTCAAGTTTTATTATTTCAAGTTTACAAAACACATACCGGAACATATATTTCATAACTTTCACAGTGCTCCCGCCCCTTTGTGAGCGTTAAGGTATGCTCAATTCTATCAGGCTGATCTCTACTTGAAGATGCTGGATGTACTCGAATATTAGAATCTCTCCGCTTTTCCAATTCTGCACGAGAGAAAAATGCTCGAGAGGAAAGTCCTTTTTTGAGGGCATCAAGGTGGATTTCTACTTTGAGAGCAATCTGTTGATGATCAGCACCTGCTAGTTTGCCTGTATATTTAAGGCAAAGTCTAAGACGATCACTATAAAATGATTTTAACGTTTTAAAGGAGAATTTAATTCAAAACCAAGGCATTTTCCCAAACTCTGTCACACACTGCTTCTCATCCAAATTAATTGTTTTTCTTGTAGTTCGAACAGAACCAACTACTTGGATTACTGGACGGCTTCGAAGAACTGCTGCCTGGTTACTTTTAAATGCCCCAATAGCTATATCTAGAAAGGGTGAAGAAAAAAAATTAATTCAAGTCTTCTTTTCATTATTTCTAACCAGGATATCCATTTCCATCAACATCTCTACCGCCGCGTAGAGAAAATCCAAAAGTTCGCATGTCTCGGTGAACATCCTTAGCCAGAATTTTTTGTGTATATTTTTCCCTTATTCCTTCTGAAGAACCATGAAATATGTAGACAATACTGTAAATATTAAATTGTTTTTAAGGAGGGTTTATTTTTAATTATATTTGTATTCTTGTTAAAAAAGTTTCCGGAAAGTGCTTTTGCAGTATTTTTCTTTAATGTCTATCCGTTTCCGGAATGATGTATTTTGTTAAGTTTGTATTTTAGTTTAAAAACTTAAGTTTAAGTTATTCCTGTAAGGCTTCCGGTAAGTATATTTTGAATTTTTTGTGTTTTCCGGAAAAATGTATTTTCCGGAAAGGAAGAGAATGTGTGTTTCTGACTTGTGTTTCTGATATTTTCTGTAAAATTATTCTCTTCCCTTCCGGAAAGTATTTTCAATATTTTAATTTTAATATTTACCCACGCCCATCCTCCCCATCATAAGGCGCACCGACAAGTAAATCTACGAGAAAATATTATAGTTAGCTTATTTATTCTTCAAAACTCTTCCACCTTGAAATCCATCCCCATTTAAATCCCCTGCAGCCGCCAAAGAATAACCAAAACGGCTCCACTGTTCATGCCCCAAAATAATAACGGGTTCTCGAAATGTGCCAATCCCCGTTTGAATATAAACACTAATTTTTCCAATCTTAAAAAATTAATTAATTTTTTAAATATAATCTTAAATAACATCATATTGAGGTTTTCGTTCCTGTGTCTTTCCATCAACGTTTGCCCAGTTAATATAGAGAGGTGAACCAACAACAATATCCTGTTAAGAGTGAAAAAATTAAAAACTTGGACGATACTTTATTTAATTTTTAAAGTTTAGATTAGCTAAAAGCTAGAAACTGCTTCAATTTTCAATATACAAAATTATAAAATATTTGCAAGATAAAAGTTATAATATTCTAAGGATTCAAGTGCACTTATTTATTAAAGCAAGTTTGTAAAAAATTTATGATTGTAATTAAAAATTATTTACTTAAAAACTTAAGTTTGTAAAATGTTTCTTAATGCATCTAAAACTTTTATTAAAACTTGAAGCAAGTTTCAAGTTCACAGTATGGTGTACGGAATTTTGGTCACCGGAATTTTGGTCACCACGATTTTTCGGAACTTTGGTCACCAATTTTTTGGAATTTTGGTCACCAGCGGTATTTTGGTCACCAAGTCAAAAAACGGAATATTGGACACTGAATTTTGGTCACCAATAGTGTTCACCAAATGGAAAAAAAGGCTGTACTGTAGTGTAGCACCCACTCCAAAAATTTTCAAAACACATATCATTCGATTCGTCTCGGCGAGCTGAGTCGAATGGTACCACTCTCTTTCTGCGGAAATGCCTACGAGCTGAGATATAGGTCCTTAAAATCGAAAAACCAAAGAGGGGACCGAGCTGATTTTTGGGGTCAAAAATTCGAATATGCAAATGGCAGCTCATTCGAAAGAGCTCGTCGAGCTGTGTCGATTGACACCAAAATTAACGAAATCCGACTTGCTTTGACAAAGTTATGAGCATTTGTTTTAGCTCCTTACCTTTGGTCTACGTGCAGGTTTTTCTTGCTGGGGAGGAAGCCAGACACGCCGACCGCAGCTAAAATGGGCATAAGTTTATGTTACGAGCCCAGACCCAGCGCCCGTAGACTCCCCGCGAGGCGCGTGCCGCAAAACCCCGCGCGAAGCGCGGGGTTTTGCACAAGCGCCTCGCCGACGCCCCATAGGTTTATGTTGCTTGTTTTTGTGTCGTAACTTTGTCTAATCTTGTTCAATCACGGTGATTTTGGTGTCATTCGACTCAGCTCGACGAGCTCTTTCGAATGAACTATCATTTGCATATTCGAATTTTTGCCCACAAAAATCAGCTTGGTACCCCCTATGGTTTTTGACCCTTTCGAGCTCTATATCTCAGCTCTTAGGCATTTCCGCAGAAAGAGAGTGGTACCATTCAACTCAGCTCGCCGAGACAAATCGAATGGTATGTGTTTTAAAATTTTTTGGAGTGGGTGCTGCACTACAGTATATCCGAAAAAAATAATCTTACCTAAAACTGATATCAAAGTGATAAAAAAATGATTTTTCAACCCCCATTTGATCAATTTCAATGTTTGTCACTTTCCCGGCTGATCACTCTCTCGGTTGATCACTCTCGGTCACTCTCCCGGATGAATGCCTAACTGTGAGAGTGATCAACATTGAATTTGATCAAATGGGAGTTGAAAAATCATTTTTTTATCACTTTGATATCAGTTTTAGGTAAGATTATTTTTTTCCATTTGGTGACCAAAATTCCTATTGGTGACCAAAATTCAGTGTCCAATATTCCGTTTTTTGACTTGGTGACCAAAATTCCGCTGATGACCAAAATTCCAAAAAAATTGGTGACCAAAGTTCCGAAAAATTGTGGTGACCAAAATTCCGGTGACCAAAATTCCGGCACCCCACAGTATTCAGGTTTAATTATTTATAGACTGCAAACTTTCTAAAGTATCCTTCCGACAATTACAAACTTAAAAATTTAAATAAACTTTAAATTCAAGTTTAAGCTCTAGTTTTAAGAAATTCAAGTTTCAAAATTCAAGTTTTAAGTTTATTTAAATTTTTAAGCTTGTAATTGTTTCAAGTTTCCATTTGATCATATTACCGCAAGTCCATCATTATTAAAATCTAAAACTGCCACAGAAGCCCCAAAGTATTGTCCACGTTGTCCATCTTTTTCTGTTAAATTAGCAATTGGTTTGAGTTGCCTCGAGTAAATTGAAACCTTTTAAATTATTTAAATATTTTCTAAAATAATTAAATAACCATTCCAATTAATTCATTCCCTCTAGGTACTCCAACAACAATATCATCAAGTTTGTCACCGTCAAAGTCCCCTGTTGCTGTTGAATAACCTAAAAACAAAATTAAATAAATTCGAAGCATTTCTGCTTAATTCTACAAAATATTTGAAATTCAAAAAATTTTTGAAATTAAAAATTCAGAAATAAACTAAAAATTATTTTTTAATTTTTAATTTTCAATATTAAAATTTTAGACCGAGCTCTTGATTGTCAGTATAAGCAGGTCCATCAGCCGTATTTGGCCTGTCTGTTATATTGTGAATATTTTGAGAGAATACAGATCCCTAATTAATAATAAAAATTTTAATTTTTGAATTAATTTAAAAATTAAATAATTTAAATATTTCCAATAATTCAAAAAATAAGTTTTTCTTTACCTGCCAATACCACGCACCCGGTGCAGAAATAAATAGTCTTTCATTCCCAAAATCGGGGACAGCAGCACTAAATCCACACATTCCATAACCTAAACGGTGGTGGCCGTGACGGGCAGCTAAAGAAATACATTTTTTTATTTTACATTAAATTATCTATTTACGTTCTTGTCTACAAGGAGCAAATTCTTGAATTTTACTAAAATAATCTCGAGAATAATAACAACTTCCTACAGGCTCTACAACATCAAATTTGGCAAAGAAATATTTGTAGTGGGGAGCACAAGCCTTTAAATGGAGAATTAATTTTTATTTTACAAATTGTAAAAAAGTTTTAATTAAATTGTAAAAATAAAACTTGGATTGTAATTATTTTACAAATTGTAAAAAAAGTTTTAATTAAAATTGTAAAAATAAAACTTGGATTGTAATTATTTTACAAATTGTAAAAAAAGTTTTAATTAAAATTGTAAAAATAAAACTTGGATTGTAATTATTTTACAAATTGTAAAAAAAGTTTTAATTAAAATTGTAAAAATAAAACTTGAATTGCTTGAATTGTAATTATTTTACAAATTGTAAAAAAAAGTTTAATTTTTTAAAAATAAACTTACTAAAACATTATCTCCATTTTTAGAAGCAACTATAGTTGCCCCAAACATTTGGTGTGATTTTTCTTCTATTGGTAAAAGAGAAGTGCCGTTAAGCCTGAGCTCATTTCCTTTTTGATAAAGAATGAATAAGAAAAATTTATTTTTTTAAATTAATCTTTAAAATAATTAGGTTGCTTCAAGTTTTATAATTCAAGTTTGTAAAATAATTTTAAACTTGAAAAAGTTTTAAAGTTAAAAGAAAGTTTAATTTGTAAAGGAAGATGCTAATATATTTTTACAAATTGTGATTGTTTACTATAAAATTTTTCAAGTTTTCAAGTTTTTTCAAGTTTGTAAAATGTTACTCTAGCATAAAAACATTAATAAAAAATTCTCTATTTATAAATTAACTAAACTTTAATAATTTAAATTTAATTTTATAATAATTTTAAAAAATATTTTTTTAATTTAAAATTCACCTTTTTGGTCAAAAAATATTTCTACACATAAATTAGTATCTACTTCGCAACCATAAACAGCACCAGTGTTTTGAAGCCGACGTTGTGAGGTTTGGGCAAATGGAGCTCCTACTAGCAATCTTAAAGAAGTGATAATGACCTCGCTACTCGAATGATTACTCGATTAATTAATTACTCCCTAGAGCGAAAGGTTAATAAATAATTACTAATAATAATTACGAATTATTTTTCGGTTAATTAGTGTACACTCTTGGGATCAAAAGAATTACATAGTAAGTGAAAGCATAACTACGTGAGGGAATCATAAAATCGGTTCCCACAATGATCAATCAAAATCATAAAAATCTACAGTCAAAAATGTACACCTAAGTAAGGTCCGACTTTATATTTAAAATATATTTTTAAATTTTAGAAATGAAGACAATGTCCTTGAGCAAAATTTTTTCAATTTTTAATATCAATTCCAATTAATTTTTAAAATTTACGTTAATTTTCTATTTCTAGAGTCTCTATAAGCAAAATCTACAGTATATCCAAATCCAGTATTTGGACGTCTATGTATTTGAGCATTTTTAGTGTCAACATTAAATCCTTCAATTCCAATAAATAAAGTGAATAAAATTAAAATAAATTTTGTTGGCAGTGAAAATAAAATATTTAAAAACCTCCTGATAATATTTAATGAATTGGGAGGTTGCGGCATTTTTTAAAAGCCGACTATCTATTAAAAATAATAAAAATATTAAAAAATACAAAAAAATACAAAGTAAAAATACAGAAATACATATTAGATGTGTACCCTTTCCGAAAGTAATTAAATCTGGAAATAATAAAATACAAAATAAAGACAATAGATAGGTATGTGTTTTCCGTGTGTGTTTTCCGGAAACTTTCCGGAATATATATGTGTTTTACGAAATCAAGAGAGAGACAGAATAATTAAAATTTAGAGCAAATTTAAGGGAAAAACACAAAAAAATTTAAAAAACACAAAAATACAAATAAGAGAAAAAAACACTGAAAGGAGATTAAAGAAAAAAATCCTCTGATTTATCTGCAAAAAAATTTTTCAAAAAATCAACAAAATTGACTTGAATAGAAGAAGCAAAAATAAAGTAATAAACTAGTCATTGCCCACGGGCAAAAAATTTTTACGGATCGAAATTAAGTAAAAAGGAAAAAAGAGAAAATAGCTTTTTCTTCTGTCATTCACCCCCCAATCCCCCCCCACCTCCAACATGTGTTTAAAAAAACAAAAGAAGAAATGAATCAAATCTAGGCCAGAAGAAGAAAATGTTTTTTGAAAGTTATTTTTGTGATTGATTTTAACAAAACGGAAATAAGTAGAGAGAGAGGGAGAGATTTTTGTTGTTTTTTGGAAGAAGGAAAATTAGCAATTTTTCAGAAAGAATGGAGGGTTGATATAAATTAAGGTGGAATTTTTTAGCTTAATTTTAACTTTAGAAATGAAGTTTAGTATACTTAAAAGTCTATCCTCAGCATCATGTATATCAGGGTTCAGCGGTATCGGGGTTTAGAGAATAATCGGGATTTTGGAATTGTGATACCGATCCCGGATTTCGACACGGGATCCGGGATTGGCCGAAATCGGGATCGGGATTCAGAAAATCCGACATAATCCCGCCCGATCCCGACCGGCATCCCGATCCCGCTGAACTTTAATGTAAATTGCTACGATCCATCCCTAATTAAAGAATCATAAATGATATGAAAAGTAGAACCGGAACTAGCCTAAACTGAGACTTACTTCCTTTTAAATACTTATTTGTATTTATCCCTGTTTCGAAACTGAAATCTATGTTATCAATCCTACCAAAACTAGGAATAATTCCATTAACTTAACGGTTAACATATTGCAGGAGACAAAAACTGCATAAAAAATATCAAAAAATTCGTGGCGCGAACTTTGCGGACCCGAATTTTGCGGACCCGAACTTTGCGGACCCGAAATTTGCGGAACGAAAGTTGCGGACCCGAAGGTTGCGGACACGAAGTTTGCGGACCTGATTTTTGCGGAACCAAGATTTTAGTGCAGACACTTGAGTAAAAGGAAAAAATTATAAATTTTATTTTTCGATGATCCCGGCAGAGTTTACCTTGATCCGTACCAGATCAAGATTTTTTCTTGATTTTTCAAAATTTTTATCAATTTTTTATCACAAAATTATTTCATAATTTAAATAATCGAGAAAATTCCTTGAAGAAATCATTTATATGGCCATCCCATAAAGTCATGATGCCTGAATTTATCCTAATCAACGCCGCAGGCTAAAATTTTTGAAATTTCCGAGGTTCAGTAGACTCTATTGTCGGTCCGCAAAATTTTGGTCCGCAAATCACAGATCCGCAAAATTCGGGTCCGCATAGTTCTGGTCCGCAAAATTCGGGTCCGCAAAGTTCGGGTCCGCAAATTTCGGGTCCGCAAATTAAAATCCGCAAATTTCGGCGCGCCAAAAAATTAATAATAAACAGTGGAAAAATAAGTTAAAAGTAAAAAAATTTAACCCCAATTCATCATGTTTTACAAGGTGTACCGACACTTGCGGAACGACATTTGCGGATCGACACTTGCGGACCGACATATGCGGATCGACATTTGCGGGCTCGACATTTGCGGATTAACATATGCGGACCGACTTTTGCGGACCGACAGATGCGGATTAACATTTGCGGATCCGACATTTGCGGACCTGGTAGTCTTTAAAAAAAATAAAGGATTTTCTAATTTTTCGGACTTAAAAATATTTCTTTGGATCGGGTTGATTGTCGAAAATGTCAGGGTACCGGGTCTGGTAGGTGAAAATGTTAAATCAGCCTACAATTTTGGGATTAGAACCTTTTTCTTGTTCAAATTCGAAAATTTTCGAAGACACAGGTCCAAGGCGATCTCAATATTCAGGACGAAACCTTTACAAGAGCAAAGGATTTTTATTTTCTTGAAAAATTACCAGGTCCGCAAATGTCGGATCCGCTAGTGTTAATCCGCATCTGTCGGTCCGCAAAAGTCGATCCGCTTCTGTCGGTCCGTAAATGTCGGGTCCGCTTATGTCGTTCCGCAAAATTCAATCCGCAATTGTCGATCCGCAAATGTCGTTCCGCAAGTGTCGGGTAACCTTTTACAAATATTAAACTACGTCGCCAGAGGGGAAAAAGTAAAAGAAAAAAGAGACGAACAGAAAAATATAAAAAAAATATGTAATTAATTAATGTAGTGGATATATGTATTTAGAGTTCTTTACTCGATATTAAAGAAAGATCCTTTTAATCTTAGAAATCAAATTTCAGTTTTTTTTGTTAATTAAAAGTTCGAAGGTTATTTTAAAAGAAAAAGGATAAAAGGGCTAAGAGAGAGGGGGAGAGATTTTTTGTTGTTTTTTGGAAGAAGAAAAATTAGAAATTTTTTGAGGATGGAAGAATGATATAAACCTCTAAATTCAGCAGAAGTATAAAAAACAACATAAAATTATCTAAGAACTCATTGTGTTCATTTCTACATTAAAGTGGTCCTAAATTAGGGCTCCTAAATAGAATCAACAATGCTAAAAGGATTAAATTTAGGGGAAAATTTGAGGGTTGAAGAGTACAGAGGTTAAGGGAAGGAATTTAAAATTTTAAATTAAATTTTTATTTTTCTCTGGATGATCAGAAACTAGATGATAATAATAAAATTAATTAATTTTTAAGAAAAGGAACCAACTAAGATTAAATAAAATATTTTGTAAGGTAAAAAATAAATAAAAATATTTTGTTTGGACCAGAAGGCAACTTTAACTTTTTGTAAACGATTAGACTTCTAAATTCAGCAGAAGTTGGGAAAGAGGGATAAATATTAGTTGTAGTAGGTATTTACTCTCTATTAATGTTCCCACTCAATTCTCTCTCTTTCTTCTATATAAATCCGCCTCCGCTTGTGGCCTAAAATTTAAAGAAAAAACAACAACTGTTGTTTGAGTCAAATAAATAAAAATATTTCCTTATAGACAAAAATAAATAAAAATAATTAAAGATTTTGGAGGTTTTTAAAAATATTTTGAAAAAAAATATATGGAGGGGGTCTTTGTATTTTTTAAAATCATGAAAAAATATTTTTTAATGCGGGTATGTCTTTATTATCTTTGAACCAAATTTCTATTATTTGGTACAAAAATTTATTTAGGATGTTGGAAATCAAATAAATAATGAATTATCAATTTTAATCGGCATTGAAGAAAATTATAGCAAAAACAAAAGTGACGGAAAATTTGCCGCCCCGGTGTGCGGACATATCGGAATTGGGGTGACAAAAATAATTTCTTGCGTGTTTACGTTTATTCTGAATCATAAAAACTCTATTCCTTTATAGGACAATATACTATCCAAGACCCAGTGGCCGTAGGTCCCGAAATCAGTAAGGTAACTGTTCGTACATTGAAACATCCCGATATGTCCGTTCCGATATATCCGCATGCCAAATTTCTTCCTTTTTCTGTGCCGCAGGCTGTATTTGAGTTTTTCGAGCTAGAATAAAATTTTTAAAAATCAGAATTTGCAAAGTAACCGGTTTTTGGGGTTAATGAATAAAGGGAAGGACCTTTGTTTGGTCCGATTTTAAACTTTGTATTAAATATTATGGCGAATTTTACGAATTTTAGAATAATAATTAAGAAATTAAACTTCAAAACTCTCTAATAATAAAAATCCTTTTCATTATTTTTTGCAAATAAATTCCTAATTTTATTAAGAGAATTAATATAAAAAAGATTCAAGATCGTTTTTTTTCTCCTTTAATTTTAAGCAAAACTTGTAAAAATAAAAGAAATTAATCAAAAGAAAATAAAAGGAAAAAGAACAATTGTTTAAGAGATTTTATAAAAGTTTTTGTGATTGAAAAGGAAAAGAATTGAGAGAGGGAGAGAAAGGGGAAGAAATAAGGAGAAAGTTTTGGGGGGAAAACAAATAAAAAAGTATAATAAAATTAAAAAGTTGGCAAAATTTATTAGTATTTTATTAAGGAGGAGGGAGGTATTGTTGTCTATATGACTGGGCTAATTGAAAGGATTGATTTAATAAAAAATAACCATTGTTTAGGTGAAGGAATGGATTAACCTTGCAGAGCTAGTTAGCTTCTTTTGGTTTTTATTTTGTACACACTGTAACTTTTGTATCGGTACTAGTGATGTTCGGGTATCCCGACTCCCGACACCCGACTCGGGAAATTTCCCGAGTTTTTGGCCTCCCGATCCCGACCCCGACTCCCGATGTCAATTCCCGACTAAGTCGGGAAATTTTTACACCCCTAAGAATGGCTTTTTCTGATAAAATTTTATTTTTAAAAGGAAAAAATAAAGAGAAAAAAATAAAAAAAGGGAGAGGGAAAATACAATATTAAATTTTTTTCCTAGTTAGCTATTGTTGATAGGTGGTTGAGTGGTTAAGTTCAGTGATTTCAGCTAATTTGATGGGGCTGGGTTCGAATCCAGTGTTGTGAAATGTATGTAATTAATTTTTCCTTCCAAAAATAAATGGTTTTTAACATTCAATTTGATTTTATAATTTTAAAATTATTTTTTTCAATATTAAAACGTAAAAAAACTCTAGAAAAATTAATTTAGTCATGAATTTTCAAAAATGAAGAATAGCGGCGCAGAAAATGAAGAATATCTGGATTCTTGGCCTCAAACTTAAAAAAAGTTTGCTTGCGACGCCTAGGGAGGAAAAATTTGACTTCTTGATATTCCAAATTTAAAAAATTTTCGCTCATTGGCTTTACAATTCTCAAAATTTTCGCCTCCGGCGGTAAATAAAAGAAGTCTGGTTCTTAGACTTCCAAACTTAAAAAAATTTTGCCTGCGGCGCAGACAAAGAATTTGAGATTAAGAGGGATTCAAAAGATTAAAAGGTAAAAAGTCCGATGGAATAGGTGAAAAGTTCCTTGGAATAGTTTGGTTTTCGGATAAGCGGTGAAATTTTGATGGAATAGGTCAAGCCCCCCTCCTCCCCAGCCACAAAATTGGCGAAAGGCAAAGGGCAAGGAATATGGAGATCGGAAAAGTGAATTTTTTCGTCTACGACCTCCAAGTTCTCAAATTTTTGCCTGAAGCGCTGAAAATGGAAGATATCTGGCTTCTTCACTTTACAAAATTCACAAAATTTTGCCTGCAGTACAAAAAAAAAAGGAATTTTTTTTTTTTATGTGAATTCCCGACTCCCGATCCCGACTCCCGAGGTCATTTCCCGACCCGACTCCCGTTTCCCGATTCCCGGGTTTTTTCTTCTCCCGAACATCACTAATCGGTACCTAAATAGTGTTCGGCGTTGTATACCAAGGAACTATGTATCAAAAGATATTCGTTAGGTCTATCGATAAGGAACTGAAACGGTATTGTACCGAAGTACCAAAAACCAGCAGATTTTTGCCAAAAGGGATATTCAAAATTGTTAGTTTTATTAGGTTTATGATTGATTTTTGACTGACATTTTCGGTTCGAAAAGAATTAGAAATCTTATCGAGTCGGACCATTCGATCCAGTTAGGGGCCAGGTATGGATATTCGAACCATCTTTAAGACCGAATCGGGCTCCATTTTATAACCCTAAATGGGATTTAGACATTTTTGTTGTCTAAAATTTAACTATAAATTCACCCCCTTAGTCAGAAAAATTTATTTTTTAAATCTTCAAAATTTTAATATTTGAATATTTATTTTTGCGAGACTAACAAATTTTGCAGAAGAATAAAAATTAAATATTAAAATTCTTTAAAAAACAAAATTTACATTTCCTTTGGGATAGCTAAATTAACAGACTTGAAATTGAGTAAAAAAGTCAAAGAGAGTGAAAAGCTTCTAATTTTTTAAAATAAAAATTTTTGGTGCCAAAAATAGGAGGAATATAAAAGTGACCAGCAAATTGGCTAAAAATTATTTTTTTTCAAAAAAAAAAGAATATAAAAGATTAAAAATTAAAGTTTAAATTTTAAAAAAAGAATAATTTTTTTGGAATTTTTTTATTAATTAATTAATATTTTTAGTGTAAAAATTAATAATAAAATTTAAAAAATTTAATGTTGCACGTCAAAACTCCGTTCCCTTTTTACGCTAATAAATTTGTTTTGGAAGTACATAAATATTAATTTAAAAAAAGTTTTTTTTGAAATTAAAGGTACTTAATTTCTCTATATACGCAAAAAATTAAAAAGAGGGGGAGGGAAAAATTTAATTTTTTGTAAATAAAAACTTGAAATTTTTTTCGAAAATATTGTTTAAATTATTAGAAAAAATTAAAAAAATATATTTTGCCATTCCCCCGCTTAATTTCCTCAATTTAAGTATTTATTTAAATAAAATTTAAAATAAAAATTTGTATTTTTAATTCGCGCAATTGACTCATTCATTCATGCAAAACGAAAACACAAAAATGAAATAGGTAAAATGGTGAATTAATAAATAAAGTTGGAATTAATTGTTTAGAATTAAATATGTGGGTGTGAATAATAATAGTTAAATAAACATTCCGGAAAATTACGGAAAAATACATTAGAAACACAAAATTGTAAATAGAATTAAATTTAGAAAGAAATGAAGAATATTAAAGTTAAATAAATAAACTTTCCGGAAATAGCTATAATATAAAATACAAGAGTAAATACATGTTTCCGGAAAATACACTAACGTTTTTCCGGAAAATACAAAATTCCAGAAAGAAATGTGTTTTAACTGTGTTTTCAAGCTTTCCGGAATTTAAATTATAATTTCCGGAAAAGAAATTAAATAAAAACATAAAAGTACAAATAATAATTTAGTAAGAGAAATAAAAAACTAAGAGTTTTTTTTTAATTTTCAAGATTTTATTATTTTGTATCCATTTATGGATGAAAGTAAAATTGAGGTAAAATACCACTTTAAATCCTCTCATGAATTAAATAAATAAAAAAAATTCAAAATAAAAGGAAAATTTAGAAAATGTTATTTATCTCGCTGTGAAAAATGAACTGAGCGAAAAATACAAAAATACAAAGAAACAAAAAATAAATAAAACACAAGGGAAAAATACAAAAATACAAATGAACAAGGACAGCAAAAAAGAAAATACAAAGGAAATACAAAAAAATACAAGAAAAAATACGAAAACTTTTAAAAAATACTTCATGAATAATAAGTTTTAATGTTGTATTTCTTTTATTGGACCGAAGTCTGTGAAAAAAACTTGAATAGAAAAGAGGTGTGTGTGTATTAAAATATATATTTTCAGCTGATTTATTTTTTCAAGGTTGTGCAATTTAATAAGTAGAAAAGAGATTTTAAAGGTTTAAATTATAAGTAAATGAAAGACGAAAATAAAAGAATTTTAAGAAAGAGTCGAAGTTAAACTCAAAAACTAACTCTATATATCCCCGTTTCTTCTAATATTAAAATTAAACCTTCCCTTAATCTTATTAACTGATGTATGCCGAGCATTTTAAGAATTTTGAAAGGATTTTGAAAGCCAGATTTCTTCTTTTTATTGAAAAAAGTCATATTACATGTCAGGTTTCAGATAATTTCTCTGGCCGAGTTTCGGAGTTCGCGTCAAGAAAAGACTAGGTTCGGGTAAACCGTGATATTCCTGATATGTATAGAAATGATTAAACAAAAAATTAATTTTTGCTTAGGCCAACTTTAAAAGATGCAGGATCAATTTAAAAGATTATTTGTAAAATGAAAAAGAAATTGAAAAACTAAAAATAAAAAAAATACAAAAATAACTTTTTAAAAAAAGCAGAGAGAGAAAAAATCATCATCCCTCCTTCCCCTCTACCTTCTCCCTTTATTTTTCTAAAAAAATTCAGTCCATTTATTTATCCATTATTTACACAATAATTGTTTAGAAAAAAATAAAGTGTTGTATTTTGTGTGCGAGATAAAGGAGAGGGATATCTCGCGCAAAAACACATTTTTATTTACCAAAAAAGAGAGAAAAAAAATATTTTTTGTTATTTGGGGTTAATATTTAGTGTTCCTTTAAATATTTTTTTGTTTCAATAATTTATTAAATTAATTTTTTAAATATATGTATTCCAAAAAAATATTTTTTTGACAATTTTTGAAAATTATTTTTATTTTTAACTCAAAAATTAAAAAAAAATAGGAAAAATAGTTACAGGCGGACCTCAAATATAGAGACACCCTTGGAGTAAAAAAACGTTCCTTATATTAAGCGTAAAGGTATAAACTAATTATACACTAGGGTTGTCGGTTCCTGGAACTTCTTCGGATATCCAAAACCGAAAAACCAAAACGAAAAATCATCGGTTCTTCGGGTCGGTCCAGAACCGATAACCATATATTAATTTTTATTTAATGTTTTAACACTATAACGAGATTTATTTATTAATTTCCAGCATAATTCAAATTTCCACAAAAAATTCTCAAATTTTTATAAAAATAAAAGCTTTTAGCATTAAGAATATTTTAAAATGTTCAAAGATGAGTAAACCCTTTAAATATTTTCTCTTTTTAATATTTCTTTCATGCTCCAATGAGGTTGCCTACGGCAGCAAAATTTAAGAAAAAATATTTTTTTATTTAATGTTTTCTCGAAAATTGAAAGAAAGGAAATGATGATTAATTGTTTTTAATAAAAAAAATATTTTTTTAAACATGAAATGATTGGAAAATAAATAATGATAAAGATAAATTTTTTAAGTAAAAGGCTGTCAAAATTAAAGAGAGTTAATTTGGAATACAAACATTTTCTCGGTTAAAACTTAGAATAGATTAAATAAGGTTAAAGAAATTGAGCAGATATCGGCATTGAACCCAAGAAAGGCCAAACAAATATTTGGGGAAAAACGACAAGAGGTGTCAAAAATTCAAAAATAAAATTTTTGTAAGTGAAAATAGGCAAAAATATATGTAGTAATTATAAGAAAATAGGGTACACCCCAACTTACAGCAAGCCCAAAGCTATGACTTCGTTCAAGATGGTCGAATCCGGGATAACCTGGTATGGTTTGATTCAGCTCGTCGAGGCGCATCGAACCATACCAGGTCGTCACGAATTCGGCAATTCTGAACGGAGTTATAGCCTCGGCGGTAGGTTGCATCCAAAAAAATCAAAAACCATTTTAAGTTAAATGGCTTATTATAAGCAAGACAATAGTAACAAATCCTTGGGCAAATATTTTTAATTAAAATATACCGTTTAATGTTCCTTTCTCTCTATAACTAATAAAACCCCAAAATATTTCCAATAAATATTTTTAACTCTTTCACAGATGTCAATATACACACAAATATTACCACCATCAATTCTCCCCAAATAAATGCGCAATAATTTATAAAAACGGAAATATTCTTTACTATTTCCCTTTAATTTTCTTCAAAAAATATTTAAATAATGAACATTAATTTTATTGAAAAATGAGGGAAATAAAGCTGGCTAAATAATTTTGTGGGAAAGAATAGAAAAGAACGGCTTTTGGGCGTATAAAAATGACTGGACGTAGGTTTTGTAAAGCATATATAGCTATTAATTTCCTAAGGCTGAGCAGTAGGCGGCGTGGTGTAATGGCTAACACATCAGTCCGGTCTACTGAAAATGCTGGTTCGCTCCCAGCCGCCGAATAACCTTTTGCACTAGCTAAAGGAGAGAAATAGCTATAGCCCAGCTGCTTTACTGTTTATAAAATTGTTTAAAAATTTCAAGAGACCTAAATTTTGCAAGAGACCTATCCCCAACACAGTTAACTAACATCTCTGGAAATTTCAGAATTTATAGTCAAAAATTTCAGAATTTTAGGCAGAAAAGGCACATTTTTCTCACCCTTTTCCCTATAGATTCTGAAATATTTAACCAAAAATTCTGAAATTTTCAGAATTTTTGGTTAACAATGTTGGGGAGTTTCTCACAAAATTTTAGGACCTGGGTAGTTACTGCGAAATTTTATAAGCCGCCACCCTGCGCACCAACAATCAGCTTTCTTGGCTTACACAAAAGTGTTTCTCTCTCTATAAAAAATTAAAAAGAACCAATATGCATTTTAAAAAGATTTTTGGGGTGGACATTAAAAAGAATAAATTTTGAAAACCAAAATTAAATACAGCCACTTAATCTTATTTTTCTTCCTTTTTTTATGAAAAAAGATTGCCAGTCAGATAAGAAAGAAATATTTATATCTTAATTTTCCCATATTTTTTATTCTCAATTTTTAATTTATAAAATAAAAACAAAATTATGAAAGAGGCTTTTAATTTTAAAAAAACGCCAACAAAATTAACGCATTATTTAAAGTTTATATTTTGAGGGGAAAAAGTATGCCAAATTTTGGGACTTTGGAGGGCCATATCTTGGCAAGATCAAAAAAAGGGCAAAAGCGGCTTAAAATCCTTGCTAGAAAGGGCACATTCTCTATCGAATGAGACCAGTCTCGGCCGTTTTTAGGTCGGACACCTCGTAACCTTTCCTTGTTAATAAAAACAAAACAAATTTTTTTAAACATTTTATCAACACTTTTTAATTAAAAAATATAATATTTAATATGTATCGAAAAAAAGGAAGTGTATTTAAAATAAAGAAGTTGATTAAGAAGTTATAGAAATTAATTTGTTTATGACATTCTTTGAAGTTTGTGGAGTAATTTTTATTTGAAGATTTTTTTAGAACTTTATAAAAATATGGAAAAGGGATGTGGAAGGGTCTTAGAATTAAGAGGGTGTCCTTTAAATTTAAGATGTCGAGCCCGGACCGTACCGTACTACAGCAGTATTTTTCGATATTTATGGGTATTCCGTATCGGTAGTACGATACGGAATACGACCGATAAAATTTTCGTTTATCGGTATTATGGTACGGAACGAAATTCCGGGCCTTATTAAGATCCCAAATTTCCAAGGTGGGGGAAGGAAGGAAAGGTAGTAAGTGAAAAGAAAACTGTGAAACCTTCAATTTTCAAATTATTGTTGTCTAAAAATTTTCAAGCCTGGGTCCTTTAACCCTTCAATTTTATAAAAATAAACATTTCGCCAAAACAAATTTTTTTTAATTTTTTTACCATATCCTCACAAATAAAAAAAATATTTTTTTCTTAAAAAGGCACAAAATATTTAAATAAAATATATTTATGGAAAACAAGAAAATAATACATTTATTAATTTTTTAGTTAAAAGAGAATTTATATATTAAGATTGACTGGATAGGAAAGGTGGTCAATATGTTTTTTTGTTTAGATTACTATTATTTTAGTTTAAAGGGGGAAAACAAAGAAATTTTTGTGTGTATTTTTTTATTAAATTTAATTTTTAATTAGTTCAATTTTCCAAATTCCAATAAAAAAAGACAAAATGCCAAAAAAAAATTCCAACCAAAAAAATTCTTAATTAATTTTTATATTAATTAATTAACAAAAATAATTAACTCACAAAAATACACAGAAAAAAAAACAAATACACACAATTAATTAATTTAAATAAAAAAACAAGTTACCAAATATATCAGTCCCTCACACTCCCAACAATAAAAAAATCCCAACATTTTTTTTACCAGAAAAAATTTTTTTTAGATTTTTTCCCTTCCCTCTTTTTTAAAAAAAATTTAATTTTTTCCTTTTCTTCTTTTTAACGTTGTTTACCCCAACAAGCCTGCCCTCCAAGCGGTGCTACTGGCTTTTGAACGGTTGATGTTGGTGCAGGACCATTCCCAATAGTTGGAAATTGTTCAAGAGAGTCAAGTTGCCACGGAGCTCCAGTTATCTCAACATTTTGGTTATCTTGTTTTGAAGGTGGTGGTGAAGGTTCACGACGAGTATGTTGCTGGGAACGAAGAACAAATTCGCTGAGAAAGTCCTGAAAATAAAAGAGAAAAAATTAACTGAAATAAGAAACGGTGGTTTAATAATTGACCTAAAGGTAGGAAACGGAAATTTAAAAAAAATTTCCTAAACAAAAATGCTAATGTCTTCTGGTTGAAGGGGAAACGAAAGATTGTATGTTTCCTTCGTTCAATAATTTTTGGAAAAGGAGGCCTTGGAAGTGAAACATAGGATCAAATATTATTCTGATGTAAGCATCACTTAGATTACTAAATTTTATATCAATACAGCCTCACTTGGGGGAGAATTTCATACTCAAGTAGAGAAAAATTCTTTGTAAACTAACCAATTCTTCGATAATCGCAAATATTTTCTCCTTTGCAGCCTCAACATGTTCTTTTTTGCCTCGAAGGATAACCAACGCTTCACCACTGTCTTGTTTTGGGAAAGATATTTGGCAGTTTCCACATGCAGTTTGAATCTCGCGAAGAACTTTAGCTCCACGAGAGA